GGAAGAAAAGAAAAAGAAAGCCAACCCAAACCTTAGGTCTAGGGCTAGAAACAGCTCAGTATAGAGCTCTAAGTTGCCCAGCCAGCAGACAAAGGTTCATTTAGATTCCCCAGCACTGCAAAAAACAAAACAAAACAAAGCCAAGTGATAAACCCCACTCTAGTGCTTGAGAATATTCAGCAAGGGGCACTCCCTCTTGCTCCTCCTCCCACACTCCTCACTATTTCCAAGCACTTGGGTTTAGGGGCCCTTTCCTTTTTTTTCTCTGTGCAGAGGTAGACCCAGGTCCTGTGCATTCTGGGCCACCACTGTACCACAGAACTCAGCCTTGATTTCTTCAGCTCAGAAGATCTTCCCTCCCTCTCAATTCATAAAACAAATGTACTCACTGGACATGCTGTCCCTGCACAGACGGGCTGTGGACCTGTAACATTGCTCAAGAGGCAGTCCCTGTCCTCAGAGCTTCCATTGAGAAATCGTCTCAGTGCACTGACTGAAAGAATGGAAGTGTTACGAGAGGAGGAATGGGTGTGCAAAGCTCTCGCCTAGCACGCAGAAGGCCCTACACAAAACCAACCCTCAGAACCACAAAACAGTAAACAAAGGAAAAAATGATAGTCATCAACAAACCCGTTGATCAAATAATTACTGTTGGCTTAGAATAGAGCTTGATGATAAAGGGCTTCCATGCCCTGGAGTCATGGATCCAATCTCTAACACTGGGGTGGGGGTGGGAGGGTTTGTCCAGAGTAAAGCAGATGGCTCTGTTGGTGAAGTACCTGCAGCACACAAGAAAGGATCTGGGTTTGGATTCCCCAGCATCCATTCTAACATGGCAGCATGTCTACAATCCCAGCATTGAGGAAGTCGAATAGAAGAATGGGGGAGGGGCTTGTTGACCAGCTGGTGTAGGCAATCAACAAGCTGAAGTTGGGAAGCAGAGGCAGGAGGATCAGAGTTCAAAATCATCTCCAACCTTCCTCCTTTCAAAAGGAGGAATAGAGGGGCTGCAGAGCACCTAGCGGGAACACCTTCATTTGTCCAAAGAAGCATGGAAGATGGCAGTAGAAGAGATAGCTACCTCCCAGACACCATCACTTAAGTCTCATCTTATAAACAGTTTAGAGAAATAAGTATGGAGCTAAAAAGTTGGGAGAAAAGACAGGGAGAGTTCTCCACCTACAGCAGCGGTTCTCAACCTTTCCAATGCTGTGACCATTTAATACAGTCCCTCATGTTGTGGTGAACCCCAACCAGAAAACTTTCAATGCTACCTCATAACCGATGTTTGCTACTGTTATGAACTGTAATGTAAATATCTGATACGCAGGATATCTGATATGTGACCCCTGTGAAATGATTGTTCAACCCCCCCCCACCCCCAAAGTGGTCATGACCCACAGGTTGAGAACTACTGACCTAGAGACCCAAGCATGTGAAATGGCTGGGGAAGCAGGGTGAGTGGGATGAAATCAGGGTAGAGTGAGGAGAGAAAACAAGGAAAAGTAGTCTAAGTGGGAGCTAGAGAACTGAGTTGGTTTGAATGAGATACCCCCAGATTCTTGGGCATTTGAACACTTGGTCAGTCCTATGTTGGTGGACGATGTCTACACAGGCTTAGGATGTGCAGCTCTGATGGAGAAAGCCTTACTAGGGGCAGGCTTTCAGATACCAAAGCCTTCTACCGCTGTACTTGCTGCCTGCCATTAAAGATGTGCGCTCCCTGCTCTGCCTTGTAGCCCTGCCTGCCTGCTGATATGCTTCCCTGCTATGATGGTGATGGACTCTCATCCTTCTGGAACTATAACCCTACATAAACTCTTCCTTCTCTAAGTTGTGCTGGTCATGGCCTTTTATTACAGCAACAGAAAATGAACTAAGACTGGTTTATACCAGGGAGTGGGGTATTGAGGACTGGCTGATCATGTGGGGTTTTTTGTTTGTTGGTTTTGTTTTTTGGTTTTTTTTGTTTTTTGTTTTTGTTTTTTTTTTTTTGAAAAGCAGAGTTTACAGAAGGAGCTTGGAAGACAGCAATGCTGTAAGCTTTGGGGCCTGTGGACGACCAGCTCAAGAGGCTTCAGAGGGAAGCAACGACTTTAACCGCAACTGGGCTAGGAGCTGCTCTTGCACAGCCATGGCTGCTTTTTGCCCTTGCCCTAAGAATTTGTCTGAGATTAAATTCAAAACCACTGCTCTGATGGTGGAGGAGATTTCAAGGCAGACTAATATCAACTGTTGCATATTTAATCAGGTCTACAATAAAAAAGAGCAAGCCCTCCCCCCACACACACAAAAAAGAAAAGCTGTGTGCTGGTGGTGCACACCTTTAATCCCAGCACTCGGTGGGGGGGGGGGGGGCAGAGGTAGGCAGATCTCTGTGAGTTTGAGGACAGGCTCCAAAGCAATATAGAGAAAACCTGTCTCGAAAAACCAAAAAAAAAAAAAAAAAAAAAAAAAAAAAAAAAAGAGCAAGCCGGGCAGAAAGAAACACAAATGTAGTTTAAAAAGAAAAAGAGCACTGGGAACTTTAAAAAAATAAATTCTCTACTCCTAGAAAGGAGCAGCAAACAAAGGCTGCAGCATATGTGATTCAAGGGCCCATCACAAACTACTGGACAGTGTGATGCTTGTCCATGTGATGCTTGCAGATGAACTTTCTCATCAGGACCACCAGCTCAAAAATAATGACACAGAGACTTATTATTAATTATGAATGCTCGGTCTTAGCTTAGGCTTGTTCCTGGCTAGTTCTTAAAACTTACATGAACCCATTTCTTATTCATCTACGCGCGTGTGGCTTTTACCTCTCGTCTTGCACGTCGTGTTCCCTCTGTGTCTGGCTGGCGACTCTGCCTTTCTTCTTTCCCAAGACCTCTGTGTCCCCACAAGTCCTCTTCCTGCCTATCTATTGGCCATTCAGCTCTTTATTAAACGAATCACAGTGACGTATCTTCACACAGCGTAAAGGAATATTTTGCAACAGATGCTAGCTTCGTCACGAAGGATATGTAAGTAAAGGGGTTATAGATCTTCCTCCGTGGTTTCAGAGAGCCACTATGGCCAGGCATGTGGCAGAAGAGTTGGTCCTTTTGTGGGGGCCCTGAAGGACTATTGTGTGAAGCTGTGAAAATGAAGCCACAGTAGCAATGTAGACTCCAAGATGTTGGAGATGCCAGAGCTGTGGGAAATCTGCCAAAGAGAGCTGCCCATACTGAGTAGAAGAACCCAAGAGAGAAGCTTGTATTACAGGCAACAAAGCTGGACAGGCAGTGACATCTAACCCCTTTGACATCAGAAAAAGAGGTAGAGAATTTTGGAGTTTGCCCTGCTGGGCTTCACACTTTCTTTGCTCCAGTATTTCCTCCATTCCTCCTGTTTGAAATAGCATATATATTCTGTGCCACTGTCCATCAGCACTATGCAATTTACTTTTGGATTTTACAGGAGGTTACAAACTGAGAGATTGCATTGAGTCTCGGAAGAGAGTTTATTTTAGACTTTTAAAACAGAGTTGAGACTGAAGAACTATGGGGACATATGAATTTGAACTAAAGGCATTTTGCATTGTCGCATGGCCGCAGACTACAGATGCCAGAGAGTGGAATGTGGTAGTTCAAGCATTTGAATACTTAGCCCTCAGCTGCTTTTGCTGTTTTGGGAGGTTCAGGAGCTGCATTGCAATGGGCTTGAATTATAAAAGCCTTCCCCCAACCCCCAGTTAGTTCTCTGCTTGCTGTGTGCTGTTCAAATGTGAGTTCAGAGTTGTTCCAGCTGCCAACTTACCTACTGCCACTTTTCCAGCACGGTGTCGATAAAACGGCAAGCCCCAAATGAACCCTTCCAATCCTTCCTTCTCTAAGTTAGCTTAGAGAAGTAGAGACAGAAAGGTTGAGCTTCATGCTAAACTTGAGTTACCCAAGAAATGGACACATTTAGATTCGCATTTTTTTTGTAGAAAGAACTTTCTTACTCCATTGCTTCCAGTCTCTGCCCACGTGGCTAGCCATACTACGAATGGGAGAGACACTGTTGCATCAGGGAGGACCAGGTTAGTGGCCAAGGAGTAGGCAAGGATGGGATGGAAGAGGGTTTAGTGACTTGCTGGGGAGGGGCAAGAGTCCAGGATGACTTCGGGCATTTCTGACTTGCCCACCTAGAAAGGCTTCCATGTCCTTCACTGAGTTATTCAACAAATGCAAGTTGGATGCTTTTTAACACAGGTTTTGAATTGACCTTTCTGCTAGGAGCCACCCAATATAGAGTGCACACACACACACACACACACACACACACACACACACACACACACACACACACACACCCCAGGACCCATCAAAGCCACCACCTTCTTATCTTGGGTCACTTTTTTGCCCAAAAGATCTACTTTACCCTTCTTTGGTCCCATGTGAATAATGTAAGAGCACTATGGTTATGGGTTTTCAAGTTTTCATCATTCCATGTCCCCTTGAGTTAAAAGAGTTAAAATCTGTATATTTGGAGTGGAGGTGGCGCGGGGGGGGGGGGGGTACCTATCATGAGCCTCCCAAACAATTCCATAGTCATTGCATTGTGTTTCAGCTCATTCAGATCCAAGCCATTCAAGCAGACTGTTAACGGTTAGTGACCAATGAAAAGCAATTAAATGACACAAAAATCAACTTTTTCTTTGCTTATTTTACTCAAACAAACCATCATTTACAGTTTAAAGATTAGTAAAGGACATTTTGATGGTATATGAATCAGTGGACTCTGGGTCTTCTCAGGACACTCAATTTCAATGTTGGAGGTTACCGGGTTCTAGTTTTATTGTGCTGTGTATTTATATTAAAGAACAAGGCTCTATGTAGCACTAAGTTTTAAGTAGTGCCTTGCCTGGATGAGGCATCAAAGAGAGAATGGTGAACTTAAAGGGCCTTTAAAACATCTTGAAGCAATAACAAGCCATAGACTGAAGCCGGCTTGTTTTAAAACATTACACAAAACTAAAACAATTGAACCAATTTGTCCTTTGTTCTTTTTATTGCGTTCCTTATTACATTAATACTGTTTAAAAAGAAACTCAAAGGCATCAGGTTCTAACACTAAGCTGTGCAAAATCGTCCTCTGCACGGGTCTGGTTCAGCCAGAAAAGTGCCTTGAGGCTGCTAGCCTTCGAACATCGTGAAAGGAAAGGGAAAGGTCGCGGGGCAAGCCCCGGGTCAGATTGAGCTCTCGCCCGAGGTGGGAGATCTGCCCGAAGTTTGCTAAGTTTTCTGGCTCTCTGAATGAGCCGCAACTGCCTTAACGCTCCAAGGGCAGGCGGGGCCTTCAAGAGTTGCACGCCTCCGGGGGTCTCTACCTTTCCAAGAAAAGTCCCTCGGGGCTGCTCCGCCCCAGGCCTCCCCTGCAGGGTGGGCGAAAGAACAAGGGCCATCACAAAGTTCCGGAACCCAGAGCGGCAGCGCGCAGGCAGCAGCGCGAGCGCGATCCTGGGCAGCGATCGCGCACTCCGCCGCTGGGACTCGCGTCCTCCGTCGCGACACCCGCTCTCCCGCCCCCCCCCCCGCCCTGCTCTCCGCCCGGGAGGGGTCACCCTTCCCGCGGGAGCCGGTGATTGACAGCCCCGCTCCCCCTCCTCGGCTCGCCCGCGAACCGGGACTGTGTGTTTTGGAAGCCGTGCTGCAAGGGCCGTGAGCCGTGTGACGCCGCCAGCGGCCAGCGCCGCCCTTCCTTCCCCCCGGGGCTCGGGCGGCAGCGAGGCGGCCCGGGCGGGGCGCGGGCTCTGGGAGCAGGGCGCGGGGCGGAGCGCTCCGCCGGGTGGAGGCCTAGGGTGGAGAGCCGGGCGGGGGCTGCTCACGCCCAGCCCCGAGGCCGAGCCGCGCCTCGCGGGACAGGTCGAGCCGGCGGGGCGGCGCCCGGCTCCGGGGAATAATGAGTGTCTGTCAGGCCGGCCCCGGGTGACTGGGCGGGGCGCGGGCGGGGGCGGCGCGGGAGGCGGGGGCGGGGAAGGGCAGGGCGGGGTGCGTGTTTGCCAGTGACTCGCCGACCCCTCCGGCGGCTGCCTCCACCCAAGTGGGTGGGGACCCCTCCCAGCCCGGGCGGCTGCGGCGGCTCCTGCTGCCCCTCCCTGACCCTCCCACCCCGGCTCCCAGCCTCTACTTACCCCGCCAGCCCCGGGGAGGCTCGCAGAGCGAGCGGCGCCGGCGTCATGTGACTGCCCGGAGTTGGTGCCAAGGAGCCAGAGGGGAGCCCGGAGCCGAGCCGCGCAGAGCCGCGGCCCGAGCGCAGTGTGAGCGCCTGCTGAGCCGACCCCACCCGCGCGCCCGTGCGGTCGCTGTCCCTGTCCCCGACGCCGTTCGGCCCTGAGCACTTTGACCTGTCGGCCCGTGGGGTTCCGGGCGTCGGGGAACCGGGCCTGGGTTTCCCGGCCGCTGCGCTTGGCACCGCGCTTGGCAGAGTAAGTCCCCGCGCCCTCACCTTGCCCTCCTGCGACCCGCTCTGCGCCGCATCTGCATGCTTCTCTCTCCCTCCCTCCCTCCCTCTCTCTCTCTCTCTCTCTCTCTCTCTCTCTCTACCTCCCCCCTTTTTTCTCTTGGAGAAAGTGGGGCGCGGAGAATGGGTTCAGGGTGCAGCGAGGGCGCCCTCGGGCTTTTGGGAAAGTGCATCGGAGCCCGGGTGGAGGAACGAGGGGGAGGGGATGGCGGGTGGGATCGTGGGATGAGGGGACCCGGTGGAGCGGGAGCCCGCGGGCGGGGTTCACCTGTGTGGTCCCCGGCCTCCCGCGCTGGGGTCCTTTCCGAGCCCCCAGCTCACCCCGCGTGCGGCCGCGTTGGAGAGAGCCAGGTAGCTGCGAGGCCGCGCGCCTGCTCCTCCCCCTCCCGACCCGAGTCGGGGCTCCCGCCCCCCGCCCGCGCCCCCAGTTGCTGCCCGCCTCAGCAAACTTGGAGCTCAGCCTCCGGCGCCCCTGGCGAAGAACTTGGGGGGGCGATTGGGACTTAAGGAGCTTCTCCTCCTTGGTACCCGGAGCGGACTAGTGCCGGGTCATTTGGCTTGGAGGACCACGGAGGCTTAGAGAGTATAGTTTGCCTTGGATACTTGGGGAGAACCTGCCGCAGTACCTGAAGCAATGGATTGCATCCTGACTAGCTGTGGAGAACGCCTTCGGTGTTAGGAAACCGGAGCTGCGTAGGGACCACAGGACTGTTGTGTGGATCGGGACCCTTGGGATCTGTGTAACATTTCAGAGTGGCAGATAAGAGTTGGAATTGTCACATCCTTGTCTTCAGCAGATAACAGAAACACTTGTGTAAATTTTCCTGCAGGATACAATAGTATTAGTTGAATATGAATGAGACTTTGAATAATTCAGGTTAAATGGACACTAGAGATTATTAGCCTTGACTTTTTCAAAATCAACCCTACATGGAATCGTTCACATTTTAGCTAAGAATTTATTTTTCACTCTTACTGTCCTTGATACTTTATACTCAGGAGAGTCTGGTGAATGGGGGAAAAGTATGAATTGGCATGGGCCGTTTTTTTAAAATAAGAGGATTCTGCTTGTATGGTAATGTTTCTCATCCTAGGGAAGTCTTTGGGGAGGGGGAACTATGTAAGATAAACATTGTAATTTTTGCAAGTTCCGTTGTATTTTTTGAAGACCATCCTTCAGAGTTATTCCTTGGCTTAAACGCGTGTGCTCACCATAGGCTATTAGTAGAAACCTGAAAGATGTTTGATTAATTTAAGCTCCCTAGAGAAAAGCTCCTTTCTCATCAATGGGCCTTGGCTGTAGATCAACACCATTGGTTAAGTCCTGTGAAGGTGCACTGTAGAGATAGATGGTTTAACCGGCTAACAAGGAGAGTCCAAGTGTAAGAATTGAGATGTGAGAATAACAAAGGAAAGTAGCTGCTTGGGTCGCAAAGCCTTGTGCGATAGAAAACTACATAGCTGTGGAGAAAGCTATTGTCTCTTTCCTGTAAAGTTTCTATATTAAAATCCATTCTAGTTGCTATGGGTACAGCAATGCCTTCCCCCTCCCCCATTTTTCTTTTTAACCTGTAGTTATGTCTACATACCAATCCTTAAATCTCAGATAATGGAAACCTGAGTTGAGTTAAACCATCTTGGCTAACAAAGTATAAAGAAAAATACTGTGGATGGTACTTGTTGTAGACTTTGCTACCTTAAGACTACCTAAGGGAAAACAGACATTGATAATAGACTATCTGGTTAAAATTGGTGCTGCAGCTTATGGATTATATATCAGCTTTGGAGTAAATGAGCAGCCAGGAGTTAAAAAAAAATCTCACTCCCAAAAAGGTGATTTTCAGTAGGTTTATATGGAGAACCAGTGTGTAGCTGTGTTCTACATTTGAAAAAGAATAAAATTTTCAAGTGGCTACATAGCCAATGTTTGTGTCTTCCGACTTTAGCTGTGACTACAGGAGACATTAACTTGGTCCTGCTTCAGTTCTGAGGGGTAACCCAGTTGTAACCTGGATCCTTAAAGCAATGCTCTGTCTTGATTTTCCCCAACATGCATGGTGTCTGGCTCAAATTATTATTCCAATGGAGAGGGCTGGGGGCTACTAGCCCTTGGGACCTGGCTGAAAGGGACAAAAGAAATCAGGAGGGAGGCTGGCCCTGGATAATTTGGAAGGTCTCTGCTGTCTGAAGACGATAAAATCACATGTGCACTTGGGATGTTTACAGTGTGGCAGCTCCTATTTGTAAATAGGGCAGGTCCCCTGTATAAAGCTGGTGTTATTATTCACACCCATAGAACAAACACCTCCACCCCCCTGTTGTTGTCTTAAAAAACTCCAGCTGCTCATGAATATAGGGTCAGGGAGGGCCGGCTAAATGTTTCTCTGTGTTCGCTCTCCAGTACTGCCGGCCGGGCTGTTTCCTGTTCTTTGTTTCAAGGCTGGGGTTTGCGTCATACATTCCAAGTGGCATATGTGTGCTCTTTCCTGTTTCAGGCTGTTTTCTGGTCGATCAGTAGCCTAAACCAGGCCATGGTCCCTGCCCCTAAACGTCGTATCCCCACCCAGGAGTTATCATGTCTCTACACTGCAATTGCCTAAGATGCCTGTGTTATGTCATAATGAGAAGTCGGTTAACCTTTTTACATACGCCCCTTGCTCCACTGTTTATTGGGGCAAATCAATACTTTTACCTTTTAAAACATATTCCATCGTTGGATTACGATGTGAGGGAATCCGTGGGCATATTGACACATCTAAAGGAAGTTTTTGTAATTTTCCTGTGAAGATGGGTTTTAAGATAGGCACATTGCCCTGAAGCTGTCAAATTTAGACCAGTATTGACACCCAAGAGTTGAAGACTATGCCAAAGCTTTGGCCTACCCTTGTTCATTTTCACTTGGGCTGCCCAAGGTAGGCCCTGGGGATGGAGAATTTAAATATCTTGGCCACCTGGGCTGAGTTGGAAAGCTACTTATTTTGAAGGAGAAACCTCTAAAAAAAAAAAAAAAAAAAATTATTCAAGCAAAGCATGGCATGTATGGGGGGGAGGGGAGGAATCACAGGGTTATTTCTTTTAAGGATAAAGATTAAACCAGCAAAACTTTTTTTTTTTTTTTTTTTTTTTTTTTTTTAAAGGACAAAGAGTTTACTCTATCCTGGAGTTGATTTCTAGCCCATTTTTGAATAAAAATCTTAAGGAAGAAGAGAGCTAGGTACTGGTTGGTTTTCTTTAATGGTAGTTTGGGAAATTGTAACCAATTTTGAAAACATAAGGATGGTGATCTTTCATAACACCAGTTTTTCTGTCTTGCACTTATGGCTTCATCAGGCTGAATAAACTGTTTAAAACTTACTTTGACATTTTTTTTGCTGTGTTTTCAAACTTGGGGATTTTCTTTAAAACCTAAAGGAATGATCTGCAGGGATGGATGCCTAATGGAATTAATTCAAGAGACACTAACACAGATCAGGCCTGAGCTGCCAGTATTGAGAATAGGTAGAGAATAGGTAGTTCCCTTTAAACACCCCATCCTGATACAGTTACAAAAGGAAAATACAAAGTGATACAAAGTGAAATAATCCGTCTGCCTGCCTCATGTACAAAAGTAACTCTGGCCGAACAGTTGGCTAATGATACCTTAAAAAATCTTGGGAGTCGCAGAAATTCCCAGTACTGGTTTGGTTTCTTTTTCTTCCCCCTTGGAACAAGGCAACTTGAAATGTTAAGTTGATTTGTAGAACAAGAGACCTTTAAGCTGAAAGTTCATAAGTCATCCAAATTGAAGCAGCCTTTTTTTTTTTTTTTTTTTTTTTTTTTTTTTATTCCAAAGTTGCTAACAGCCCAAGTACATTGGGTAGAGAGTCTTGATGAAGTTTTCTCCAGATCATTCTGCTTGGGTGGAGCAGGGAGGTGGCTAATAGGATTGATTAGTGTCTAATGTACTCTACCAGAAGTGCTGCAAGCTTTTAAATGCTGTATTAAATTGTTGAGGGAATTGTAATTTTTTTTGGTAGTCACTATAATTATAAGACATGGGAACAATAGTTTTCATTTCTTCACCTTACAACTCACCATGCCTTATTTAACTTCATTATCTCTAGGTTCTTGCCTTTTCTTGTATTCAAATCTATACTTTTGCTATAAATTGGTAGCCTTCCTCAGCATTTCTTGCTGGTTTTACACACATTTGCATAATAAAAAAAGACATAAGCAACCTTGTCCTTTAAATAGTAGGAATTACATTATTCTGGACACTGGGCTTTCTGAAGTGACTAGTTATCATTGATCCTAGCTATTATGGGCAAAGAAATCCCTGGACTCTTAGAGCAATTAACACCTGGTTTGCTAAGTGATTATTTTCTCTGCCTCTGAGATTGAGTTGGGAGAGGAGGGGATGGTCTGCAGGGTTCTCATTTCAGGCCCCATCTGTCCAGACCCCACTTCTGAGCTTAGGCAGTCATGCCATAGCTTGGAGACAGGAAACCAGACAGAGTCTGCCCTGATAAGGGAGAGTATTGTCTAAAGGAGGTAGCACTGCTCTCCCACCCCACCCCAAAGACTCTTCCTTGAAAATTAGTACAAAAAAAGAGCATTGCTCTGTAGATGATTTGGAAATCGAGATCAGAGGTGTTTTCTCTCAAAGCAAAAAGGGAATATATATGCCTCTCAACTATGTCTACACCGACCGTGGACTGTGACCCTCTTCAGTGTACAAATAAAGAAACTGTGTCCTGCGTGCCTGGGTCTGCGTGTTTGTAGTAAAGTGCTGTGGCAAAACTGGTTACTGGAGGGTTTTGAAATTCATTTCCTTGTGTTGGCAGGCTGAATACATTATCATTTCCCCAGCTAACTATCAAGGGGTGGGGGTGGGGGTAAAGATGGGACAATGACTGACAAGCAGCAAGCTCCTGGCCTTCTGTGCACTCTGTTCAACCCCTGGCCTAGCTTTTCCCCTGATTGTCCAAGAGGGAAGCCCTCCCAGGAGTGCCATCTTGAGTCCAGCTTGTCTGGGACATATTCTAGTTGCCAATCTTTGGAAGGTTTAAGGGTCAGGCAGCTAGCTGATGGTTGGGATCATGAATCAGCCCCTATCCTCAGAGCACAGCTCGGTCTGCACAGGAGGGAATGAAGAGTGTTGAGGTTCAGGCTCACTACCCTGGAGAGCAGCCTGGGTTTGTCTCCCGTGGCCTCTGCCATTCTTTCCAAGAACTGCTTTCTGTTGGCATGAAATCGCGGCCATCCACTCCGTTTATCTGTGCTTGTACTTTATACCCTGGTGCCGTCAAAGCGTTGCACTCCCAAATAGCTTGATTAGGGAGATCGATTTCCTGTTCTGCTTTCCCTCTTCAAACATGGTTCTTTTGTCTTGCCTATCTCCTTAAATGGTTCACATTTTGCATTTTAGGAGATGCTGGCTTCACTGGCCTTGGACCCACGCTAATCCCAGGCTCTTGCCTTTCATGTCTATCCTACATGAGAAGTGTAGTTTGACATCCTTACATTTGTTCATCTCCCAGGCATTTATTGAGCACCTAGTCATTAGTGCTAATCTCACGTTGTGTGCAACCATTATTCTGAGTTATGCCACAGGATGGAAGGGAGCTGCCGTGAGTGATCTAACCTGAAACGGCATTTTGAAATCTTAATTGCTGTTGGAACCTCCCCACAGCAGCACTGCTCATCGTGGACCAGTGTGTGCACCACACCCTGTGTATTGGGGAGTGACCCCAGGGTGAGGTGATTCCACCCAAAAAATGGCTCCCTCCGCCCAGGCTCTGCATAACAGAAAGCCCTGGTCTGAAAACAGGCACACTTTGGTTCTTGGCTGTGGCTCCACAAATGTGGACAAGTCACTATACCTCTTCCTCAATTTCCTCATTTCTAAAATGGGGGCAAAGACCTGACCCCGCCACCTTTGTACAGTTACTGTGAGGATTTCCGTATTTACTTGGGTAAAGCTGCCAATTTTTCTCAGCAGTTTTATGGACCAATTGCAGGTGCATTGAATAGCAAGAATAATAACCTAATTCGGGACCTGCAGAATGTCTTTGATCTTGTGTCCAGATATGCTTGGAAAGAAGGGCAGGCATCCAGCGCCAGTTAGAAGGGGTTAAAAATGTTCCTTTAAGGTTGTCACAGAGTCCCCATTTTCTTAGAAGTCACTGTCCCACTCCGGTGAGTGGTGTGCCAAATTGCCAGCCTTGAAGTCAGTGAACTGGAGTTCGAGTCCTGGCTCTCCAGCGGTTCGAACTTGTCATTGGGTTTTTAATAAATCTCATCCTTTTAAGTATTTTCATCTGTGAAATGAGAGCAGTTCCCACTCAAGGCCTGAACTGACACAGATGAGTAAGGGACAGGACATTCGTCATGAAGGCAGTGGTGACCGGCGGGACAGACACATCCTTTGTTTTTATTGGTCAACAGAAATAATCCTCCGGTTTTGAGACAGGGTCTCTGTGTAGCCCAGGCTGGGGTCTAATTTGTAACAGTCCCGTGATTCCTCTTGAGAACTGGAACTGTCTGCGTGTGCCACCACACCAGGCAGAAGGTGGTAGTGGTAAGGTCTCCGGAGACTGGATAGCTATTCCAGACTTAGGTGAGGGTCAGCAACTTCTTAAGGAAGTTTTGATCATTAACTTCCTGTTGGGCTGGGCCTTCCCCCACCCTTGGAACAAGCTTAGGAACATTTCAAGTGTGCTCCGATGACTGCGGAAGTCCTATTCAGGGCTTGGTGGCTTGTAATTAATTATTATTATCACTGGGGGGGGGAGGGGTTGCTTGTTTTGTTGTTAGCGCCTTAGGCCTAGCACAGAGAGAAACATCTTTGTTTTTTTTCCGTTCTCCCTGGGGGATTAGGGACGGAGGCTCCTAAGGTGTGGAGAGACACCTGCCAGGACCCTTTTGGCTGTGCTAGGAGACACACCCTGCTTGTCTAGGTAGGAGGCGGCCAACCTAGATGTACTAGGGTGCAGTCAGCTGGCCACATAGGGAGGGCCTTGAGCAGGTCTTTGAAGAATTAGGAGGATTTAGATAAGCCGGAAGAGGAGGGGGCATTCCACACTGTTGCCCAGCGTCAGGGCCAAAAATGAACAAAAGCCTGGGGTTGAGGAGGGGGAGGCAGGGCCACTTGGAGAGCTTGGGCTGGTTAGGAAGCTGGTGACAAGCTCAGGCAGTATTGCCCCACCCCAGCAGCCCCAGGCTGCCCTGGAGGAGGGACTGGTGACTAGGGGGCTGGGCTGCATTACTGGGTCATGGACTCTGGGAGGCCTGAGGACCTGGCCCCCATGGCAGTGGTGGAAACCTAGTGAGAAAGGGTTGGGGCAGACTTCACAGATGACCTTAGGTTTCCATGGTGAAAGACCAGAAAATAAGGCAAATGGAAGGTAGGGAGGGGCAACCTCTTAGACAAGGGACTGGAAGGAAAAGAAGAGGGTTTGGGCTGGAGCCATGTTGCCCAGCAGTGGTTGCAAGCAATGTCTGGTTTGTGTTCACTTGTGAAGGAAAGGGCAGCTTCCCCCTGTACAGTTTTGCGTCTGAAGGTGCAGTCCTGCGAGGTCGATTTCAGTGGACACTGCACCAGGACAGTTTTCTCTGGTTATTTTTAAGGTCCTAGCCATCCTTGCTCAGGCTGGAATTTCCAGGAACTGGTGCAGCCTGGGGCCAGTCAGGTCCCTCCCAGCCTTCCCACTCCCTACAGGGTGGGGCTCCATGGGTGGAGGCCCAGCGGGGTGGAGTGAGGTGGGTCTCCAGTGATAGGGCACCTACTGAGCCGGGGAGATGAGAGACCTTGTGGCCTGGAGCAGCCCTTCTGGGTTTGATTATATAACACCTCACAGAGGAGAGCTGTGAGGGCTTAGGCAAGGCCTTTGGAGCTGTGTACACAGGCAGGATTAGACATTGTGGGTATTTTTCAATTTATCTTGGGTTGCTTGCCCTTAAAATTAAAACACAGAATTGCCAGGGAGCGTAAAGGAGGAAAGCAGTGAAACCCAAGTACTAGGCAGGTGCCCTTGCTTTGGGTCTCCCCTGTTGGGAGGGGCTGGTGTGGAAAGGTGGAAGGGACTCTGTTTTCTTGTCACCTTTGCACCTGTCCTCATCTACATGTAAAGTCAATTGCTTCACCCTCTTTCCGAAGTACAGGGTGTGGGCAGACTCTTATCTGAAGCCATGTCCTGTTTGGACAAGTTGGACTCGCCCTGGCAACTCTCCATGGGGTGGAGCAGATGGGTGGAGGCAGAAAGTAAAATTGGGTGGCCTGTTCACGGAGGAGAAGAGGAGGAGGAGGGCGGATTGTTTGCTCTCTGGATCATTATATTCCATCTGCAGCGAAATAATCCACTTCTCTCCCTTTTACAAAACACGGTAATGTAAACATAATTTACGAGAGGCAAAGATTTGGAACTATTCTTTCAAATCAACAGAAGACTGAGGTGGGTGAAAAGATTTGGGTGGTGTGAAAACTGGACACCCTTTCAGGTAGGTACCAGCACTAGCTCTCTCTCTCGCTCTCTCGCTCTCTCTCTCTCTCTCTCTCTCTCTCTCTCTCTCTCTCTCTCTCTCAAGCTAGCCTCCGACTTAGGTGTCTGCCCCTGTGTTTCTGGCCAGGCCATTGCATAGTACTCCCCATCCTTCTCACTGGGAGTGCTCAGAGTTTGCTAAAGAAAGGAAGATCACCTCTTGGGGCCGCGCTTGTCCTGGCCAAGATACACAGAGAGCTCAGATAGATTTTTACCCCAAGATTCTTTGGAGAGAGGGTGGAAACCACTGACATACTTCCTCATTTGAAAATTCAAAACACTTGGGAGTGAAAAGGGCACTTGCTGTTATTGCCTGTCGGGTTGTCTAATGGTGCTGTTCGCTGCACACCTGGCTGAGGTTCCCTTTGAGGGAAGAAGGTGATTGGGAGGCACCTTAGGGTCAGGCTGGGTGGGAAGATAATCACGCAGGGATCCTATGAGGACCTGGGGGTGGGGGGAGAGTGTCTGGCAAACCTTCCTTTGTCAAACTCAGCAAACTGAGACGTCTTGGGGCTTTCTTTCCCCTAACCCCAATCATTCCCTCTCTTAGGAAGTGGTGAGCCTAGACATAGCACCACGAGCTGTATCATTTCTAGAAGTCACCTAAATGACTCGACAGGCTTTTAATATGTAATTCTGCAGTTTTGTATGTTAACAGAAATCTGACCCTGGATCCCATTTGACCCTTCGAGTCAAAAACTAGAAGGGGTGGGGGATGGGATTCGGAGGGGGACATCACATAAAATTCAGTTTCATAGGCCCTGTCGTGAAAAATGATCCAGTTGCTCCAATTATGGAAAGTTGTTTGGGCAAAAGTGATTTTCCTGTATTGCTTTTTAAAGCATGAGTTTTAAAAACTTAGTTTTTAAAGAAGTAGGTTTTGCTGTTTTATCCTGCCATTGATTGCTTAATTCAGATTGAGAGTGTTTGCAAAACAGAACATGTAAATGTGTGTTTGATTGGAAAAACAGAAAGAAAGGATGAAAGAAAGAAAGACAACCACATTTGAGACTCATTGTCTCTTCGATACCCACATAAAGTGGTTTAATAGGATTCCTCAGCTTGGTAAAAACCCACAAGGTTTTAAAGACCCTGAGGCAGGCAGATGCCTATCTTCTGCCTGTGTCTTAAGGCTCCAATGCCTGTTTTAGTCTGCCACCTACTGGTTGTATTTAAAATTGCTGCCAGTATGGTAAAAGATGGTTTTTTGAAACAGGGTTTCTCAGTAGCCATGGAGTGGATCTAGGCCTGGAACTCACTCTGTAGACCAGACTGGCTTGGAACTCACAGAGATCCACCTGCCTCTGCATTCCAAGTGCTGGGATCAAAGGCGAGCGCCACCAGACTATATATACACATACATACATATACATACACACACAAGTTTGGTGGCTTCAGGATCCATTTTTTAAAATTTCATGAGGTGTGGTGATACACATCTCTCATTCCAGCACTTGGGAGACAGGCAGGTGTAGAGCTCTGAATTCTAAGCCAGCCTGGTTTACTAGTGAGCTCTAGGCTATGTAGTGAGACCCTGTCTCAGGTAGAGGGGGGAAAAAAGACCTTTTACAAAAGACAGATAAATAACTGCAGAGCACAGCCCTGTTTAAAGACCCTGCTTCTTACAGGTTGTGGCTTACATTTTAGTTATATGGAAGGCACTTTAGTCATTTAAATATTAACTTGAATTCGAGTATGAAGGGTTGACCTGGGTGCTAGGCAAGCATTCTGCACCCCGTCTTCCCAGGTTCTTTCAGTGAGGTGATCAGTACAGAGAAGCTGCTGCTGCTATTTTGAACAGGCAGCCCTATGTGTTCAATGCACATGGCTTTCTTTCTGTCCTGTCGTCTATTGTCTTTCCCCTTTGTATTTTTAAACTGGAAGTAACAAACTTAAACATCATCACACAGGTACGTGAAGCCAGCCTTTGCTCCCAGCTCTTATGAACCGATACTGGCCTTGAGCTTGTGGCATCCTCATGCCTCATACTTCATCCCAAGAGCTGAGATCTAGGTATATACCATTACACATGGCTCCCCCTAGAAGACCTTGTTAACAGATGCAGGTTCCAAACATTTATCCTGCTTTATCTATTGCTCCAGGGTTTGAAACCCACAAATCTAGTCTTGTGTGTATGTCCAAAAGGTGTTGAGGTAAGTGATTTAGAGGGAAAGGATAATAAAACTTGAGAAGGAGGAGCATTGTCTGTATCCTGCTTGTGAGAAGTATTGCCTCGGGGCTAAAAGTCTGAGGCCTCAGAGCCAGGTCTCTTTCCTTCTATACCTGGGAATGTGGGTGGCAAGATAACCATCTTGTGGAGTAGCATGAATTCCATTTAAAGGGCTGAGGTGTTGGTGGGGAACTCTCAGCGGAAGCAGAGGTGTCAACTAGCTTTGGTCCCTAACAATACCAAGAGATGCTCTACCTTCTCTAAGATGTGGGCTTGGACAGGTCTTAGAGCCCAGCCTCTCTCTCTCTCTCTCTCTCTCTCTCTCTCTCTCTCTCTCTCTCTCTCTCTCTCTCTCTCTGTGTGTGTGTGTGTGGGGGGGTATGTCTCAAGATCCAAGTAGACTTTTCTCAAGGAGAGAAATGTAAACGTTAGCTCAAAGTAAATGGTTTACCAAAATGGAAGCAAAGACTTCTCCTTTAGAAACTTTGTCTTAAAAATTAAACCGTGTGGGAATCAAGTACAGAGGGTGTCAATGCTATCTGTAATGGGGAGCATTTGGAAACTAAAGGTCCTTCCTTTGTGTATACATGGAGGTCAGAGGGCAACGTGCTCCTCTGTGTGGGCTCTGGGTGAGACCTGTGGTCATCAGGCCTAGCACAGACATGTTTGCCCGCCAAGCTATCTCATTGGCCCTTGTGTCTAATGAGAGGTAACAAATTAAAGCAACCTTCTCATGAAGCAGCATGGTGAGTGTGATGCTTTGAATCTATACCATTATAACAAAGGGGTGTTTTCAATGAAGCATTAAGTGGCCATAAAGGTACTTGAATTCAGGGTTTAGAGGGTTAACATAGGTGTCACTGATGGCTGCTTCTCGGTTTCTTTCTCCCTGTTTTTTTTCCTATGATGAGCATAGGGGTGGGATGGATCTTCTGCTGAGCTGCCTAGTAATGCCGAGCAAGGTTCCTGCCAGAAGAGGCTGTATATATACTGTTCAGAAATGCCAGGGCCTGTATAGTTGAATAAGAAATACCGCTTCATTTAGTCCTGCCTATGAGGCCTGGTTTTAATTATATGGACGGTTATCTTTCATAGTAGGTAAGGGAATGAAGATGGGAAGGGGCAAAGGGGGTGTTTTAGATTTCTTAGTTTTTATGTGACCTCAGTATTAAGACTAGGCATGTTGTTTTATTTTCCAGGCCAAACATCAGAACACCCTAGAAGGCTTAACTAAAAGAATGCTCATGTTTGACCCAGTCCCTGTCAAGCAGGAGGCCATGGACCCTGTCTCTGTGGTGAGTTTCCCGAGACTGAACAGCTTTAACTGATAACATTATGTGTTGTGTTGTTTACTAAAGTGCTCCTTGTTTGACAGGCATTTGGCAGGTGGCACTTGTCAGAGTCCCCAGTAATATACAAGGTGTCACTATCCATCCTTAGGACCCACTCCCCACACCTCTAGATAGGGTCAACCACAGGCCGATAGTACGTTCACAAATGCATGTGTAAAATACATCGAAAATAACGTAATTTTAAAAGAGTAAAAGAAAAAAAGCATTGAAAGAAGCCATATGGGGCTGTGGCTCTGTGAGGGATGGTTGAGAAGGAGCCAGCCAGAGAAGGGCCTTGGCAATGACACCAGAATCTTACTACATTTGGAATAGTCTGTGGATGACTGGGAATTACACCCATGTAGTTTTGTAAGCCGTAGTGCTAAACTGTCCCCTCTTGTGAACCAGGCCACAGTGCTGCTAGGCCACCAGGGGACTAAGACTCAGTCTAGGTGTTTAGGTCCAGTCCTAGTGCCGTGGAGATGAGACAAGGCAGTGCCGACTTTCAGAGCAGGAGCAGTTTAAACATGAGAGGATGTGGTTTAGTGGATACTGACTAACAAACAAGGCAACGCTCCCCATCTGTCTTGCTCTTTACTTCCATGGGATTGGAAAATATTCACAAGGGGAAAATATCTTGGCCTGGATGTGTATCTGAAGGCTGGGAATGACACGCTTGCAAAATTAGATCATCCGTGTGTACTGGCTGTGGAAGTTCCTGCCAGAGATGGCTTATACAAGACATGGGGTCACTCTGAGGCTCCATGGAACACAGTTACCATGGATATTAAAGCTAGTGATGTATTACAGTTGTCTGCAGTGAAAGGGGAAGTGAGAGCATCTTTGAGAAGATAGCACTTACATTCCAGCAGAGTGGATAAATGATGCAGTTATCACATGCCCAAATGGAATAATTGAACAGTAGGAATCACTTTCATCAAAGGAACAGACTTTTCTTCTGAAGCTTTGCTGTTCCTTTCTCTGGGTTATTGCAATGATCATCTTTCAGGAAAAGGACAGTTAAGAGATAGTGAAGTGTTTATAAATGGTACATGGTCATCATGGGTACACTTGACTGGTGTACATCCACAGTTCTTAATCAAGCATGAAAATATGGCTCAGGAGCCCAACTGTAACTAACTGGTGAAGATCCACATTACCAAATTGCTCTGAGATAACTAAGTCCAAGGAAAATGCAACTTAATTGTCAGTGGAAGGGGATACAGTGAATTTTCTTTTATGTGTTACAATGTTGTAATTTGTATCAGTTTGCTTTCTACTGTTGAGATAAACCCTGTGACCAAAAGCAACATGGGGAGCAAAGGGTTTATTTAAGCATACCACTCCAAGCCACACTCCATCACTGAGGAAAAATCAGGGCAGGAAGCAGAGACCTTGGAGGAGTATTGCCTTGACCTACTCAAGAGCTACCTTTCTGATATAACCGAGTACTGCTTGCCCAGGGATGGTACCTCCCGTAGTGGGCTGGGCCCTCTCTCATCAATCATTAAGTCAAGAACATGTCCCACAGGCCTGCCTGCAGGCCAGTCTGCTGGAGACATTTTTCCCAGTTGAAGTCCTTCTTGCCAGGTGCCCTGGTCTTTTGTCAGGTCAACAAAACAAAACAAACAAACAAACAAACAAAAAAAAAACAAAAAAAAAAAAAAAAAAAAAAAAAAACAGTAACAAAGTACACTTGTAAAGTTGAATGTGTACAAGCATTTTTGTAATTAATGATGCTTTACCGGACCAAGATTAATTTCATTCTGTCTCCAAAAGTTTATTTTAGTCCTTACAGTGAGTGAGGTGTACGCAGAGCTTCAGTCTGCTCTTGGGTCGGTTTCATCTCCCCTGCCTTCATAGGAAGAGGTGGAGAATCAAAAATCATGCCCTTTGTGAGGCTGCTTTTGTTTCCATTGATTCAAGATAGCCTTGCTATGTATCCCATACTGGCCTTAACTCCTGGCAGTCCTGCCTCAGTTTCCTGAGTGTTAGGATTGTAGGCATGCCCCATTGTGCCTTGCCTGTATTACAAAGATATTTTTATCCCGTACACTGGTATTTTAGTGCATGTAGTGTCTGAGGAGGCCAGAAGAGGACATTGGGTGCCTTGGAACTGCACTTGAAGACAGTTGTTATTAGCTGCCATGTGGGTGCCAGGAATAAAACCCTAGTCTTCTGTGAGTGTTGGGAACCACCAAGACACCTCTCTAGCCTCCAGAAATGTTTAAGTCCTAACACACACACACAAAAATCACTACGTTGTGTCTATGTCTGATGTTACTTCCCACCACCATCTTTCTTTTTTAAAGAAAATCCTGGCCAGAGCCATCTTGTTATATTTGTCATAGAGAAAGCGAGGAAACAGTATTCTTCTTTTCTACTGAACTATAAACCCTGTTAATAGTTACAGTCTCTGCACACGATGGAAAGGCCTTCTGAAAAAAGGCTGAAACTGGACGTTCCAACTCAGGCAGTCAGAAAGAAAACAAATTGAAGAAAGAACAAAATTTAAAAATAGTTTTAATCTTTTTAAATTCCCTTTGAGGTTCTCCTTTTCTTTTCTGTGACTCTGGTCACCCAGATGATCCCTTGTTCTGTGAGAGTACTTACAACCAGTAATTTCCCGAGCTCTGTCCCATCAGCAACCCGTGCTGGTTTTCCTGGGCCAGGTGGACAGAAAGCCTTTTCTGTTTGCCTCAGAACATTTGCTGAGCCCAGAGCAAGTGTTTATGAACATGCCACGCCTCCTGCCTCCCTGTCCCAGAGCCCCACCTGTGGTCTGAGGACTCCTGCATAGCCCTGTCACAGATGCTCCTTGTTTCATCAACAGTAGACTTCCTGATCCTGTCACTTGTCCCACCCACTTAAGCTGTTGCTAAAAAAACACAAAACTGGAATGGAAATTCTCACTGTATAGAGTAATAGTTAAGACCCCTGGCAGAGTGTCCAAGCCTCTGACTACGTATGGGCATTATCCCGAGCCTCAGCAGGAGTGAAGGCCTGCAGAGAGCTGATTAATTCATCCGAGACATTAAGGCAGGGAGTGCTGATGAAGCTCTTCCTCACATTCCAGTGACAAGCAGTAGTCAGCAACCACATACATGCAGCAGGGAACGAACATGGGCCTGGGGTGCAGATGGTAGACCCTTGTCTGTGTCTGGCCTTTGGATGGCTGTGCTGCAGAAGGACGGGGTAGGGAGGACACTGGGTTTCCATTCATGCCTGTCAGTGGCCAGAGAAGAATTTTCTGTTCTTCCAACGCGACCTTACTGTGTGTTTGGAGCCTGTTGAACCACACAGGAGGCATCTAGATCAGAAGGCAAGTGGCTTAGTGATGTTTACATCCCAAGCCACAATTAATGTGTATCAGTTTTTACACTGTGCATGCCAGATGGGTGTCAGCCACCGCAGTAAGCTGTGTGCTCCACCCAAGTAAAGTAAACCTGTAGAGAAGGTTCTGGAACTTGCCAGTGAGCCCTTTTGAAGGACCACATTTCTTTGCCCTTTTGTGAGTCATTTGAATTGGAAATAGTGGAAATAGTTAATTATGTACTCAGAGTTAAGTGTCTGGCCAAAAGTGCCTCCCTGTACTTAGGATCCTGGCGCTTTAAAGTAGACTTGCAGGCAGTACAAAGGACAGGGAGATTCATTTGTGTTGTGTATAAAAATGCAAAGAGTGTATTAAACTCAACCTGATGTGTGGTTTATTCTTCTTTGACAACTTTTCAAACCCTGAGGATGTTATTAAATTGGCAAATCCCCCAGGTTCGACCTGAATTCCCACGTGTCTTAAATTCATGCCACGGATAGAAAATCCACAGGGATGAAAGTATGTCCTCATTCTGTTCCCCGTTCAGCTGCCAGGGACTGCGGGCCTTAAAATCTAGGTCACTGGGAGGTCTCGGGGAAGAACAGGGCTGAAAATCAGGGAGAAACACATGGCTAACCCCCATTTCATGAAAATTTGCCTCCCACCAGAACTGTGTCCTTTGGAAAATTAAATAAAGCCTATGAAACTTCTTAATTACTGAGATCCTTGTGCATGATGTCTAATTTTTTTAAGGGAGCCTTTTGACAACACCTATTTTTAACTAAATTTAAGTATGCTTAAGATTTATGTTGCTGTATAATTTTCTTGTTTTATGCTTGGGTGTGGCCAGTTCTAAAGGAAGCCAGATAAAGACCAGTGATTAAAGTCTCATAGCCTGGTCCCCTGTTTTGGAGTGGTGCTTTATAATAAGGGCAAACAATTACAGTTCATAGACAGGCAGCAGGTCGTATAGTTTTCCTGTCTTTGGCATCAGTGTTGACTCGTAAAGAATGCCATAAGTCTTTGGTAATGCAGATCGCTTTAGAATGCAGCCAGGTAGGTACCAGCCTACACACTGAATGTGAAAATTGTAGTGTTCAGTTTTACTTGACCACCCCCCCCCCCGCCCTTTAATCTCTAGCTAAACCATCCCCCATAGTATTGGGGGGGGCTCACAAATCTCCATCTAAAGTATGTTTATTTACACTTTTCCTCTCTTTTCTCATTTGTGATAGTCCTACCCATCGAATTACATAGAATCGATGAAGCCCAACAAATATGGAGTCATTTACTCCACACCGATACCTGACAAGTTCTTCCAGACTCCAGAAGGCCTTACTCATGGGATACAGATGGAGCCAGTGGACCTCACTGTGAACAAGCGGGGCTCACCACCCTCGGCTGGCAGCTCTCCCTCCTCTCTCAAGTTTTCATCGCACCGGAGAGCATCCCCTGTTCTGAGCATGCCGCCCTCCAGCCCGCCCATTAAGAAATACTCGCCCCCTTCTCCTGGCATGCAACCCTTCAGTGTACCACTGTCCATGCCTCCGGTGATGGCAGCTGCACTGTCCAGACATGGAATCCGGAGCCCTGGCATCCTCCCTGTCATCCAGCCCGTCGTGGTGCAACCTGTCCCTTTTATGTACACCAGCCACCTCCAGCAGCCACTCATGGTGTCCTTGTCAGAAGACATGGACAGTTCAAACAGTAGCATGCAAGGTAAATTCTGCTGTGCCTCTACACCTGGGCACCTGCTTATTAGTAGACTGAGTCTCCTTCCACCGCCTGCCCCAATCCACTCCCCAGGAGTCTGGTGACTCTAGGCAGAGCTATTACATCTTCCAAAGGACTGTCTGGTCTGCCCCTTGGCAGTCCTCTCTGTTTTTGTTTTGAAGTGTTGATATTGGGAGAGTAATAATAATTAGTTACTTTTGCAGTATATTCCGTACTTTGATTTACTGAGTGCCAACATAGGTCTGGGCACAAAAGGGACTTTAAATACTTTCTGATCATGCTGTTAATGGCTCTTAAAATATAATGGCCCTTGCTAGAGGAGAAATATGCATATATAAGTGTAGTAGCTAAAAGCTGGGCAGTGAGATTTATAAGGTGTAATCCATACATTGTTTGTAGAATGATTTTTCTCTTTTTATTTTTTTAGTACCTGTAATTGAATCATACGAGAAGCCCATATTACAGAAAAAAATTAAAATAGAACCTGGAATTGAACCACAGAGGACAGACTATTACCCTGAAGAAATGTCACCCCCTTTAATGAACTCAGTGTCCCCCCCGCAAGCATTGTTGCAAGAGTAAGTATACTTAGGTGTACCTGGTGTGTTAGTAGTGCCATGAACCTGGGGACCTGGAATGGAATTGCAAACATGTGATGAGCTGTGGATGACCAGGGACACCCTGTGTTGTGTGGTGTCACTGGGCGGTACCTCAGTAACAGTGGGCAAGACAGTCTCCAAGAGCAACACAGACCACATCTACAGCAGTTCTGTCAACTTCAACGAATGGGTCCCCCAAGGTGGCCACGGGAATCTTTTTCCCCTTGTTTCCGTCCATCTGGGATACACATGTATAGTGTTCTCATGAAGACTGGATTTGGATTTGGTGTTCATCAGCTTGAATCCCAAAGTTTTCACGTGTCAAACAGAACCTGACCCCCTCACCACTGCTGTCATTTCAAATGTAGTTTAGTGTGCCTAGCATTAAAAATGGCCTTTATTAAAATCTCAAGGCCAACAACAATGTTGGGCCCACAAGGTTCGTGTACAGCTCCGAGAAGCTCAGCCCTGAAGGAAATCTTTGTGTTGCGTCTTTAGTCATAGTTTCCCATGGAGCCTCTCCTCACACAGAACTGCAATCCAGTAGGAAGGATGTCTGCCTTGACCAGTGTCTGAGCATGTCATGTCCTGGAGCAGGACCATACTGTACATGGTTAAGTCACAGCATTCATGAAGATGACCTTTGATCCTGGTGCCGTGCTCCAGCATGTGTGGGACCATCGGCTCAGTTGTCCTCACTCCCCAAACGCTCTGTTTTGTGTTTTTTTTTTTTTTTTTTTTTTTTATTGTAATTGCCCTCGGACTCTCCATCCTATAGTGTTTCTGCATTGGGTCCAGGGGTCGGCCTCAGCCACAGCCACCGTCCCTTCAGGGTCCCGCCCACCACCCTTCTCCCACACCACATTTTCTCTGGCTTCAGTAAATGCTTTGCCCACCTTTCCTGTCTTCCCTTCCCCCTTTTCCCCTCTGGTCACAAACTCAACAGAGCATGAGTTTTCTAGCTTTACATCAGCTGTTTCTGATGATGTCACATCCTGCAGTCACACCCATCTTTGGATTGTGTGGCTTTCATAGTGGCCACCACACTGAGCTCTCCATCCCTAACCGATGGAGAAGAATCCTCTCCAGTTGTAGCATCAGGCAAACGGGGTATCTTAGAAGCCTCATTTTTCACAGTTGTGTAGAGCTTTCCCATAAAAGTCCAGTTGTGAGTTTTTGTCCTTTTTTTAAAGATGGGGTCTCAAGTGTGTAACCCAGGCTGAACTCATTCATGGCCCACCTGCCTTGGCCTTCTGAGAGTGCCAGGGTTGCAGGCATGTCATCATGACCATCTGACCTGAAACATTTTTAAAAAAAAAAAAAAAATTAATTGTGGCACAGGGACAACTGGTCAACCTCCAGTCACCACACGACGGGTGTGTGGTGTGTGTGTGTGATAGATATATGTCCTAGTGTTTAAGTGAGCTCTTACATTCAGAGCAAGTGGTGGGCCAGGACACTACAACACTCCCACAGTCTCATTCAGCCCAGGGCACCTGCTTTGTGCTGCTGTTTCTCTCTGGGTAGTCTCCCTGCCATCTTATCTGAAGCAGAGGACCGCTCTAAAGTATCAAGTCACAAACTAAAAGGCAATACATGGCCAGGCAGTGGTGGCTCACATCTGTAATCCCAGCCGAAGGCAAGCAGATTTGAGTTTATGGCCAAGTGTGGTCTACAAAGTGAGTTCCAGGACATCCAGAGCTGAGATTAATCGTGCCTCGAAAAACCAAAAGAAACAAGTGATGCATGGCAGAAGAGTATTTGAAAACAGTCTCCTATTCTCTGGTTACTGCTTAACAGGAAGGAAATACTTTTTCTGGATAGGTGTGGGAGCACATGCCTGTGATCCCAGCATTTGGTAGGAAGAGGCAGGAGGATCAGGCATTTAAGCCAGCCTGGGGAACATGAGACTTTATCTCAAAATATACATGTATATTTTTTTTTCTTTCCTGTTTCAAGAAGTATTCCTTTAGTGATCTCACTGCTAGATGCTTTTAAATGCTTTCATTTAATGCTGACCTAATCCTCAGAAAAGAAAAGAAAAAAGAAAAACGTGTAGATTAGCCACAACAGAGCATGCACTGTTGGTGGTTCTGTCACAGGTGGGATTAATGTTTTGGAGTGGGCTCAGTAGCAGCCCACGTAGGACACATTAGCCAGGAAAGACTCACTTGAAGCCAGGTGTCTAGAAGGCAGAAGAGAGACCCATTTGCTCGATCTAGGATTACAGCGATAGGGTCATTCTGAATGCACTCGGAGGTATGTCACGTGTCATTCTGTGTGTTTGCCTTTTCGGAGCTGCATTTAGAACAGAAGGCTCTGAGGGGTGGGCATGGGAACGCAGACTTGAAGCAGATTTCTGGTACATGGTATCTATCATATGGTCGTGTGATCCCAGGTGATCTGTAATGAGTGGAAAGGCCAGAGAGTATGAACTTCCTAAGACCCTCTCAGCCAGTGCCGTCACCCCGTCACCTTTCGCAATAGACACGAGCTTGATATCCCTTAGAGTGGGTTTGACACACCTGGAAAACTCCGTGTGAAATTGGAGAACTGATGTACAAAGGGGAAGGGGGACTTGTGGCCTCTGGCACAAACGCTGTCCTGTGCTGCTCTGAGTGTTTGCTGACCGTATTTTCCCACAGCGCTCACGAGCAGCAGCCTTTTCCATTGGAGCATTAACACCCTCCTTTCACAGGAAATTGGGGTACAGAGATGTCTAAAGCCACTTGGCATGGGCTCTCCCTGTATCCCAGGCACAAAGGACACACTTCACCACCGAGTCTTCCCTAATGCTTTCCCAGAGTAAAAAAAGATAACTTGCGTTTTTACGAGTCTTCCCTAATGCTTTCCCAGAGTAAAAAAGATAACTTGCGTTTTTTACTGAAGGATTTTAAGTTCAACAAGGAAAACTCAAATAAATCCTGTCTTATTATCTGTCTCTCCTCTGCTCCCAGGCATCAGGGTTGGTCTTATAGTACCAACAGAAGTAAGGAAGCCATGTAAGAGGAACCCGCCTTTTTATTACTTACTAGTCTCCACTTAACACATCTCAGGCCTTGCCCCCCAAAAGTATGTTGAAATATTTTGAGCCTCAAAAATACTGTAGGCTCTTTATTTATTTATTTATTTTTTACTCGCTCCCCCACACAGAAACCATCCGCGAATCATTTAGAACTTTTTAGGACCCAGAGATGCAGTGTCTCCTCCCAGAGGCCAACTGCATATGCTTGCTTCAGTCAAGTAACTGCCCAGGAGAAAGTGGAATGGGCAGGTTAGTTGGCAGGCAACTGTTAGGAAAACCACATGGTTTTCCATCTTCCTCTGCTCTCTTCTGGCATGGAAATGCTTCCCAGTCCTGGTGAGCAGGTGTAGCTTAAGGACTCTTTGGACAAGTGTGAGAGCTGTTGAGGTATGGAGGACCTGAGGTGTTCGCATTTCACTAATGCAGGAACTGCCATGGCATTGAAACATTGTGCTTAAGACAGCTTTTGAAACTTACACACAGAGTCAGCAGCAATGTAAAAAGACATTAAGCGAAAGAAAGGCTAGGATGTGGCTCTTTCAAGTGGTGTGTTTTCCTAAGAAGCAGGGATTTGACTATTTTACATTTTTTCCTTCAAGAAATGAAAAGCCGGCAGGCAGCCTGTGGGAAAGCCAGTGCAGGGCTGAGAAGGGACACAGTCACACAAGCAGCTGCAGAGAGCCTCTCCCCACATGGGACGCCTCCTTCGAGCATAGCACCTAACCTTCTTGCTCTCATTACTTATCTCCATGTCTGTCTCCCCCTAGAGTGTGAGCTCCTCGAGGGCAGGAACCCTGTTTTTATTCATCTTTGTGTCCCGGTGCCAAGCACAGTGCCTGGCTTATGGTAGGTGCTCGCTACATGTTTGTTGAATGAATATAGCAGTGCTTTTTGGGTTGAACAGCTAATTCTTTTTTTTTTAATTATTATTATTAGTTTTTATTTGTTGGGGGGTTTGTTTGTTTTTGCCCAATGTTGTAAGTGCTTTTTGGTTTCTAATAGACTGAAGGAAACAGTTCACTCAGTGTTTTGCATTTACCCTTGACTTGGTAGGAACCACCCTTCAGTCATAGTGCAGCCTGGGAAGAGGCCTCTACCTGTGGAGTCCCCGGATACCCAAAGGAAGCGGAGGATACACAGATGTGACTATGACGGATGCAACAAAGTCTACACTAAGAGCTCGCACTTGAAAGCACACAGAAGAACGCATACAGGTAGGAGAAGCAGCATTATTCTTCCTGGCCCTGGGGGAGGGTAGGTGTGTATAGTTAAAAGTCAGCAGATCTGACCTTCAGAGCGTGGGAGAGTTTGGCTGCCCCAATCTGAAAACCTGACATTCCAAATGCTCTGAGACTATAAATAAGACTTTTACTTTATTATTATTATTACTATTACTGTTGTCCCTTTATGTGGTTTGGCTGGGCTCGGACCCATCAGTAGACAGTACAGCCTAACAGTGATTCACTGTGTGACCTTTGTGTGGAGCTCAGAATGTAGTTGTTTTTCTGAGTCTGCCAGGTCATTCAGAGAGAGGAATCTGGGATTTAGTCAGAAAAACAGCAGTGGTTTTCAGTGAATCAGGGGGAGGAGGAAGAAGAGGGTGAGAGGCAGAGTAAGCTGTATAAAGGGTGGCTCCCAAATAGCCATGACAGGTCATAGCATAAACCATCTGCTAGGTGTGTAGCTTCACACCTTCCTGTCTAAAATTATCGAGCCTTTGGCTTCAGATGTAGGTATGTATGGGCTGAGTAGCAAAATACAGCCCAGAAATCCCAACACTTAATGCCAAGGATTCTAGAAACAAGAGTCACTAAAAACAGGAACTAATTTGTTACCTGCTATATGTAGACTGGGTGACCATTGCTCTATATGTGGCCATACAACGTTTTCCTAACTCTGAGCATTGACGTGATTGCCACAGAAGAGAACATCTGCTACTAAGAAAGACTCACACAGTGTTTTGGATTTTAGAGCAGTGGTTCTCAACCTTCCTAATGCTGTGACCCTTGAATATAGTTCATCATGTGGTGACCCCTTCCCCCAACCATGAAGTTATTTCGTTGCTACTTTATAACTGTAATTTCAGTACTGCTATGAGTCATAATGTAAATATCTGTTTACTGAGAGTCTTAGGTGGCCCCTGGAAGGGTCGAGAGCCACAGTTGAGCACCACTGTTTTAGAGTGTTCTGAATTTTTTATTAGAGGTGGCTTTAATATAGTAAGACCACCAGTAAGCACTGTTTCTCTGTGAGGGTCTTCATACTGGCTGTCACTAGCATTTTCCCACAAGGGCCTTCTTTTCCTCACCTGTGAGTGACAGCCTACAGGAAGGGATATAGAAGGCAGAGGAAACTTAACCGTTACAGTACACTGTCAGGGACCACATAAGAAAATGGGCTGAAGTATTTTGGTCAATAGGAACTTTATATTTTTAGAAAATTAGGGGAAAGCATAAGAAAAATTCACAAGCTTTCGGTGGAATTATGAAGTGCATGGTACCATGTATCATTTGATCTCCCCAGAGTTTAAGGCTTGGAGGCCTAGACATGTAGAATCTTGCTCCATGTTGGTTCCCCGGAATGGCTTTTCCTGCCTTAAGAACTCTTTAGAACCCCCCCCCCCATTCTTTTCCTCTGCTTTTATGTAGAATCTTTGTTTCATGCTTTTCCTATAGTGACTATATTATGGAGAGTTGCGTGTATGACTTTATCTCGAAAGTTGTATTTGCCAAGGGTGTTAGTTCAAAAATCTTAGCTTCTCTTTTTAACAGCAACAAAAAACAATTCAGTTAAACTCCTTTCCCTTCCTTGCAGGAGAAAAGCCCTACAAATGCACTTGGGAAGGCTGCACATGGAAATTTGCTCGGTCTGATGAACTAACAAGACATTTCCGAAAACATACTGGAATCAAGCCTTTCCAATGTCCGGACTGTGACCGAAGCTTCTCTCGCTCTGATCATCTTGCCCTACATAGGAAACGCCACATGCTAGTCTGAAAGCCTGTCTCCACCTCTGTTGACGCCCCCTCTTCCTGGCGCTCTGTCTCTTACAGTATGTGTCTCTGTTCCTCTCCTCCTGCCCATTATCTAACTCATTTTTACATGTACATTTTAATTTTGATTCAGCTGGTCTGAATCTCTGAATTTATGTCATTGAAGACTTCCATATGGTCAGTAGTTGATTCTTTAACCCTCCCTTTCCTTACCACGGGTCAGACCTAAAGAATGTGAACATTTTTTTTTTTTCGGGGATGCTAAGCAAACCCTCCTTACAGATGCATTTAATGTAATAAGAACAAGGGAACATATAAACTAACAATCAATTTGTTGGTTTCTCCATGTGTTTCTCAAAAGAATGTCAGAGTAAATACATCAGAAATACAGTATCCAGCCTGCTAGTCTTCGCTAGGGAGACCTTCATACCTCTGCCACATTTTGTGTTTGACAACAAAAAGAATTCGGTTCCTTTCACCAGTTAGCAAGATCCACAGAGATGTCAAGCTGGTCCTGTCCCCTCTGCCATTGCCCTTCCCACTTGCTTGTTGGCCTGGATTCCCAACTCCGCTAAGTCAATTCCTTTGTCCTCTGGTACCTGAAGCTCACATGGATGCTTTGACACCCTGGGAGCTGAGCTTCTGCTGGAGGTGAGCCTTATGCTCCCATAGTTGGGGGGTGTGAAGCAGAAGACCCTGCAAGTGGAGGAATGTCAGCAATTCCCGGATAGGACTGTCTGGGCCTTTATCATTAGCTGTGCAGTGCATCTGTTAAATGCCCATCCCCAGACCTAACTCAACTAAGCAGACTCTTGCTGCAAAGCTGGATACCCATAGGGTTATTGGTGCCTCTGCCTCCATCCCTGCAGGATCCTTCATCGTGGATCATGAAGCATTGAGATTAAGGAATCCACAGAAATATTTGCCCAGTAATATATAATTTAAAACTTTTGAGACAGTATCAGATGATCTCTCCCCACCCCCAACCAACTAAGAGTGTTTTTGCAAACAGGAAAACATTGAGTGGTACTTATATTCCAATTAGTCATACAGCTTTCATATGGAGCTTTTTTGTGTGAGTTGTATGGTGCCAAACCAGCTGTCATTTGTGTCCGTGACACATAGCATACATGAGCATCCACTATGCTTGAGGGAAGTAATTGAGTTAAGACCTGAGTGACACTATTTGTAAATATACCTAGTGTAAAGCACATAGATCTTTATTTTGGTGACAGATTTTTGGAAAATAGAAAAAAAAAAACCACAATTCAGGGATTTATATATGTAGCTTGAAGATTCCCACAAGTTTCTGCCAGAGCTAGCAGTTTCCTGTCGCTACTATGTATCCTGTGAGGACAAACTAAAAAACAATGACTCGTGTTGATGTTGAAGATAAGTAACACCATTATTTGGGGGGGGGGGCACTTTTATTTTGTTTTTCAAAAGCAGGCTTTTGAACACCATAGTCCAAATGTCAACAATTCACAAGTAGAAATGCCATTGGTTAAAAATTTGAAGAAAATGGGCACAATGGTCAGATGGTTGCATGTGACCAACAACCCTTTCATCCCCACAAGGGATGGAGGAGAAGAGAGGAGAGATTCCTGGAAATTCGTCCCAGCCACAACTCAGGATCCAACACCACTGGGAGGAAAATGCTACTTGATTGTCCTTGAACGACAATGAATAAGTGATGCTGGTGACCTGCACACGAGCAGGGAGCTCTCTCTTTGATGGCACTATGTTGGGAGTTGCAGGGACTGCATGCAGGAGGTCCTGCTTAGCCCTGTGAACCAGCTGAAGGGAAAATGGGTGAAAACTGTAAAGAAATGTTATCTTAGCACTTGGGTTACTTTTCATTCCTTTTTAGAGCTGAAAAAAAAATTGTTCAGGTTATTAAAGCATGCTAATTAGAGTCTTGCTTTGCTCTTTTGTTTGCAACCTTGGCACGAATTGAGGAGTGAAATGTCTCTTGGAAAAGCAGGGTCTCTATTGTGGATATTGAGTTGTGCTCATGCCAACACCATCATGTCCGGAAGTGGTTCTTTGGCAGCACACCGGAAGTTTCAGTTTATATGTCCCAACCCAATGAGAAGGGGGAAGGATGCAAGGAAGGACAGAATTAGCTTTGCGCGGAAGTACAGTTAATAGCTGCGTGACACATTTAAATTGTTTTCAAAAGTCTATTATGTTACTCTTTAGCTTGCTTGGATCATGTTAACAGTTCCATTACATCCATTTTAACTCTGAAAAAAGGTAACCCAGAGAATCTGTTCTCTATTTCCATGCTGGTCTCATATACTTTGTTCATTGGCCCTTACCAAATTTTCTTTATGTGTATACGTATTTGTATTTTACTATGATAGTTGGGAAATCTAGTCTTAGTCTTTTAGCTGTTTTTGTGGAAGATACACAATAAGATGCCCTGGAAATGCGATTTTTTGATGACGTGGCTATGTGACTTGTCAGTGGCGGTTCAATTGCAGTATTTTAAATTGGTGAGAATGGGCTGTAAACATGAAGTCAGCACCATGTAAATTACTGCTAAAGTATCATCGTGGGGAAGTTAAAATTAAATCAGAATCTTGTGTTTTACAGTTTTCCAGTAGGAGTGTACATCATTAAATGGGCATTTAGTAGTCTAAAGTCACTTGGTTTGGATACTGCAGCATAGCTTTGTTTAACTAAGGAGATGTTAAATATGCAGATGTTTCCAGAGCCTTGGAACAGAACTACAGGGGAATGATGTATGTATATGTATTTTGTATTAAACACCCACCTGCACTATCAGTATTGCACTAATGTGGAATTTGAGAGACTTGCTGATACTGTAATCTGCGCATCACTCTTTAGATTGTTATAAAGACAATCTCAGAGATCAGAGGTTTTTAAAGTAATTTGGTTTGAAAGTAGAATTGTCTTGAAGGAATTGCTAACATACATGAAGTCACTTGAGTTTTCTTTATTCTCTTCTTGGTCAAGGTTAACAGTTTCTAAATGATTGCAAATTCACTTAAGTAATGCATTTACGAAGCCATTTTACATGCATTAAATGAGGGCTACAACGTGTTTTACAAATACTAGCACTTTTTATTTTCCTGTTATGTACTTAGTGTTAGAGGGTCAGAATAACCTTTCTGCTTAGCATCTCTTAAACCCTACCTGCAAGCATAGCAGGATTGTTGCATTTACAGTACTTTAATACTTGTATAAACTATGCAGAAATTTTTAATAAAGTGTAATATATTTTATAAGCTAATAAGACTGAATGGGTAAAGGTTTTTAGCATGCATTAGTATACTTGCAAATACTGAAACATTTTGGTAATCTTTCTTACTAAAGATGTGAATGTTTAAATGTACCTTCTCTGTTTCTACCCTGTAGTCCAATGGGAATTCAGTAATGACATTTTGTCATGTCAAACTGTGAACATAAAATTTGTACTGTACAGTCCTCATATACTATATACAGTATGCAATATATGTATTATATACTTGTTAATAAAACCATCCGAATATTACACATGATCCTGTGATTACTATAGGAACAAAGAAGAGAGTTGTAAAGTTTCAAAGTAAGTTGCTGATGAGCAATATTTTTAATGGTTAGGAAAGAAAGATCTCACCGGTAGGTACACCACAGGAGTGAAGAGCCTTAAAGGGATTACCTAGTAACTTCCTGGAGGAAGACTGAGCTTAAGCCATAAAACAGCAGACAAACCAGCATTCATCTGTAAATCCATCCAGTACATTTTAGAAGTGTGATGTTCCTCAGCCCTCTCCACAATGCCTCTAGGATTCTGCTTCCTTTTCTTAATCACAGTTGATAATCCACTCCACCAGACCAGCATCCCTTGTCCTAACAAAGTAGTTTTCACTCTAGTGGTGCTGGTCTCTTATTAATCACAGCCAGTTCTTAAGCTCCAGTTAACCAGAGACCACAGATTGTTAAGACATCATATAAAGGGCTCTGGTAGAATCGTTAAGAAATTTTGAAACTTCGCAGGCTCGACCTCCATTATCTGCTTTGCTCTTAATACCCTCTTCCAATCTCCCACACAATGGTTCACTGATACCTGAGTACTCAGTGTTTTGTTTTGTTTTTTTTTTCTTTCCAGCCCACAGTAAAAATGCAGCGTCAACATCTATATTATCAACACCCCACTCCTGGTACCAATTTCTGTCTTAGAGTTTCTAATGCTGTGATAAGACACCATGGCCATACACAATTTTATTTATACTTCCACGTCATAGTCCAACATTGAAGGAGATCAGGGTAAGAACTTATGCAGAGGACAGAGTGCTATACAAGCTTGTTCCTCATGGCTTGCTATGCAACATCCAGGATCATCTGCCCAGGGTTGGCTCCACCTACAGTGAGCTTAGGACCCTCGCAACAACCATAAAGCAAGAAAATGCCCTTAGATTTGCCTATAGGCCAATCTGGTGGGGGCCCATTTTCTCAGATGAGGTTCCCTCTTTCCAAATGACTACTTGTGTCAGTTGACATAAAACTGGTCAGCACGCTCTAATTTGAGTGTGTTTCCTAGAAGTTCTTGTGCTATCAAGCAGTTCTTTGATACAGCAGCTTTGTAGATGGGCTCTAGTGAGAAGCACTTGGGCCGCCCCCTCCTGTCCCCATGGATGCTTTTCTCATGTGTTTGGGTTAATTCCTGAAGGGCTGAGTTGATTGTCTTAACGGTTACAACCTGAAGCAATATCTGTGATTTTGTATTTTTGTTTTTTCCACGCACGCATGCTCACTTCCTGTTCTATCCTGGCACCGAGTTAAGAGGCTGCACAAGGCTTTCACTTGCTCTTGGACTTCCCAGCCTCCAGAGCTGTGAGACAAAGCTTTGTTTTTATAAACTGTAAACCCGGTCTCAGGGATTGTGTTACAGTAAGACTACAGCCTCCAAAAAATAAAATACTTCAAGTTTTTCCCTCTTTAAAAAAAAAAAAAAAAAAAAAATGTCGAGACTAAAGAGATAGCTTGGGTTAAGAGCACTGGATGTTCTTTTAGAGGATCCAAGTTCAATCCCCAGGACACTCATGGCAGATCACAGCTGTGTGTAACTCCAGTTCTGTGGGTTATATTATAATCTCAAAAGATAAAAAAGTTGCCAACTCCCAAAATTTGCTAATGTTTGTCTGTGTATGTATATAAACATGCCAGTACTCGTGTGTGTGTGTGTGTGTGTGTGTGTAAACGTGTCAATGCTCATATGTGTGTATGTAAAATTTGTTAACATTTATTTGTGTGTATAAACACACCAATGCTCATATGTGTGTATAACACACCAATGCTTGTGTGTGTGTGTGTGTGTGTGTGTGTGTGTGTGTGTGTGTGTGTGTATAAAGACACCAATGCTCATATGTAGAGGTGCAAAGACAACTTGTAGGAATTGATTTTCTCCTTCCACTCTGGCTATCCTGGAATTCTTTATGTAGACCAGGCTGGCCTTGAACTCACAAACATCTGCCTACCTCTGCCTCCCATGTGCTGGAATTAAAGATGTGCACCATCATATCTGGTTATGCCCTAGGGTTTTTAATCAAGGAATAAGCAGGATTCATACTTAAACAAGTCAGTTATAGACAAATAAGTGCTTCACACCAAGTAAGTCTGGATAAACATTTCAAGACTTTAGTGGCCATGCCATAAAAGCAACAGGTGGTTTCTGATTAGGATTTAGAGCTCTTTTTTTTTTTTTTAATTACAGTTCCTTATTGTGTGTGTACACACACTTGTGCCACTGAGTTCACATGGAGGCCAGTATTTGAGAGTCAGGTCTCCTTCAACCATGTGGGTCCAGGGGATAGGACTGGAGTCTTCAGGTTTGCCAGCACTGAGCCATCTTGCCAGCTCTTGAGTTTTTTTTATTTAAGACAACATAACCTCCCATCTTCTTCCATTCTCTTCACAACAAATTTAGCTCTTACTTTTATGTCATTGTAGGGGGTCAAAGTATCTGACAGAAGGGAAGTAAAGTTTCTTTTAGATCATACCTTCAAGGGTTTCAGTTCTTCATTGTAGGGAAGGCATGACAGTTCATGTAAGTGAAAGCATATGGCAGAAGCTCAGCACATAGTGAATGGGGGAAGGAAGCAGAGTAGCCTGGAGTAGGGACCAAAGTATAACCTCTGAAGGTCCATTCCCATAACTGAATCCTTCCAGCTGGGCTATACTTCTTGAAGATTCCACTGCCTCCCAAAAGAATGCTACCAAATGGGGAACATGTGTTGAAAACATGAACCTGTAGGTGACACTTCAGATTCAAAACATTCATCCTCAAAGGCTCATGGCCATCCCTTAATACATGAGGCATTTAATCCAACTTCTAAGAGGTCTTGAAATCCTAACAGTTCCAAAAGTTAGAAAAGTCCAAATTCTCTTCTGAAACTCAAGGGAAATTTTTAATTGTGAACTGCTGCAAAATGAAGAAATTATATACTTCCTCTATACAATGCCAGAGTAAACATTACCATTCCAAAAAGAGAAAAACAGGAGAATTGGAAGCAAATATGTAGACCAAAGCCTAGCAAAGTAAACATTAAATCCAACAGGTCTGTATATAGTACCCAGGGTAGATGGTGGCATCATTCACACTCCAACAGACTCAAGTACCATTGGCCCTTTGACCCTGTCCATGGTGCAGCACACATGGCCTCTATTGGGCCAGCCCCACTCAGTGCTTTGTAGTTTTCTTCAGTCATCCCATGTTCCTGGCATCTCAGCCTAGGGTCTCCATTGCTACTTCAGCTTCTCCCTCAGTGCTTCACACATAGTGTCTTGGTTAAGGTTTCTATTGCTGTGAAGAGCACCATCATCACAGCAACTCTTATAAAGGAAACATCTAATTGGGTGGATTACACTTCAAAGATTCAGTCCATTATTATCATGGTGGGACATGTCGGCATGCAGGCAGACATGGTGCTAGAGAAGGAGCTGAGAATTCTACATCTTGATCCATAGGCAACAAGAAATGAACTGAGATGCTGGCTGTAGCTTGAGCATAGGAGACCTCAAAGCCCACCCCACAATGACACACTTACTCCAACAACACCATACTTACTCCAACCCAGCCACACCTCCTAATAGTGCCACTCCCATTGAGCTTATGGGGGCCAATTACCTTCAAAGGATCACACATAGCTTGTTCTAGAACTCTGCATATGGAGTCCAACCCCACTATACATTGTCTAGCCACCCAGGCTTTTTTCAAAAAATCTTGGGGCAAGCCTCCATAAATAACCCTATAACTCTAGAGTTCTACATTCCTAAAGACCAGAACCACATGGAACATGAAGTTCTGCCAGCTCAGCTAGTAAATGGAGCCTATTGGATGATGGCTGCAGCACCTCCTGAGTGTCTACCTTGCTGAATGCGGGAAAGCATTCCTTTGGTGGCCCTTTCCCAGTAAGGCAATCTGAAGATTCTCTCTTTTCAGTCGCTAAAGGAAATTCTTTCAAATTAGTTCTATGTTCACACCCTAGAACCTTCAATGGATAGGATTTCTTGCTCAAGATACCTCTCCTGTTGTTCCACTATGTATGAAGTGAATTTATTTCTCCCCCCCCTTTTTTTTTTTTTTTTTTTTTTTTTTTTTTGTGGTGCTAGTCTCTTTAAACTGCCCCTACTTTGTCTTGTTCATAGCTGCAGCCACATTCCCACTTCTTGTCCTTGACAAATTGTATGGTTTTTTTCAAATCCTGCTCCCAATTCTCTTTGTAAACCTTTTTGTTCCCGATTCTAACTGTAAACCTTGCTGGAAGCAGCCAGCAGTAACCAGGCCACAGCCATAATATTGTGTTGTCTTGACATTTGCTCCACCAAAATGCCTAGTCCATTGCTTTTTGTTTTGTTTTTGGTTGGTTTGGTTTGGTTTGGTTTTTTTCATGACAGGCTTTCACCATGTAGCTCTGGCTGTCCTGGAACTCATTCTGTAAATCAGGATGACCTTGAACTCACAGAGATCCACCTGCCTCTGTCTCCCCAGTGCTGGGATAAATGCATGCACCACTACCTCTTGGCTTAGTCCATTACTCTTGAATTCAGCCTCACTCAAGTTCAAGTTCAGCACTTGAACAAAACATAGGCAAATCCTTGCCACATTTTCCACATTGTAACACCATGGTGTCTAATTCAGTTCTCAATAGAGTTTTTGTTTCCATCTGAAAACTTGTAGGGAGTCTTCATTGTCTGTATTTCTGTTGGTGTTCCAGTCTTTCAAACTCATTAAGCTAATTTACAGATTTTCTAGCCCATACCTCCAAAATCTTCTGTATTCATTTTGAAAACCAGTTTCTAAGAACCACATAGCCAGGCTTATCACAGCAATGACTCTCCACTCTGGTCCCATTTTCTTTATTGCTGACGCAATTACTTGGAAGAAAACAAACTTAAGGGGTGAACAATTTCTTTTGGCTCATGGTTGTTACGAACAGTTTTTCTACCAGCCTGGTCCCAGAGCTGTGTCAGCCCCAAATAAAACACAGAGACACTGTATTAGATATAAAG